TTTATTCCAGTTTAGAGATGTATTTTTCACGTTGAAAAGCGTACTAATTTAGGAAATTCTGTAAAACTTATCTGTGTTGTAAAATTACAATTCCCGTCACTTGCTCAGGCTCCGTTTCGAATCATGAACGGTCGGATTGCATAAAGCGCAAGGGCGGATCCAGGGGGGGGGGGGGGGCAAAGGGGGCCATGCCCCCCCCCCAAAAAAAAACGAAACCATTTTTTTTTTTTTTTTTATGTGACATCGTAATAATATTGAGTACACCACCATCTTTCCCTCAAAAAACATTGGTTAAAGTGGTCAGAAATTGCCTCAGATAACACCACAGAGCATCTAGAATCAAAAAAAAATTCGGGGCCCTTAAGCGGGCCCCGAACCCCACGCCGTAATTTTTTGACCCACTTTTTGGGGGGACCAAAATTTTTTTGGCGCCCCAAAAAATTGTGTTCTGGATCCGCCCTTGATAAAGCGACGCTCAAAATTTTGTTCACATGGTCCGCAATGAAACATAAATCACATTCAGTATGGAATGTGCGCAATTCTGTGGGAAGTTTTCGGATAGCATTTGCGCACATTGTCTTACTGCGGTCTTGAACAGCTGTAGCCTTCCTTCACAAGATTCTGGGAAAATCAGAGTATCCCAGCGTCCTGTTTGCAGGGCGGGGGGTACGAGCGAAAACGCAACGCCCCAGGTGCATTCTGCGTGACATCGCGCACTACGCGCGACGTGCGCATCTCCATAAAAGGAGTTGTTTACATCTTACTGGCCAGCTGGACACTCCATTATTTAGCTAGAGGGGTGTTTAAAGAACATGAAGTGAACTTGTTGAAGAAAATCGGGGGGGGGGGGGAGGTTACCGAAAAGGTATTTATGAATGGGAATATGTGCTTGGTCGGTATTAATCACTCTGTTTAAGACCGCTTGGAGTCTGGGTGCTGATAATTACCCGAACCATCTTTTCCTAAAAAAAATTGGTTAAAGTGTTCAGAAATTGTCTCAGATCGCACCACAGAGCACCTTGAATCCAAAATAAATTGCGGGGCTCTTTTGGACACACATTGGGGGGACCATTTTTTTTTAGGCCCCTCCCCAAAGTTGTGTTCATGATCCGTCCTTGCACACCGCATAGCACGCGCTTTATTGTATGAGCGGAAGTTCCACGTGATCTCAGAAACTGAGATAACCACTTGAAGTTGAACTCACCATGCTTAAAACGGTGTTATCAGTATTACAGAACTTTAATTACTACTGCCAAGTCCTGGCTGGAGTCTAGAAATGGCTTGAGTTAATATATTTTTTTGTGCACATGCATAAGGAATTTATATTAGGTTTTGCCCTTCACTAACGTATAACGCTGTATACTCAGTATGTAACCTCAGAGTGACACTTATAAAAAAATCAATCGGATGGGACTCGAACTCACGACCTCAGTAGGCATGAAAACAATTTTTTTTTTCCACATTCTATTTTTAGTCTTTTTTAAATGACTATTTTACAGAGTATATGTGTATTTGTTTGGGTTCGAAGATTTTGTTGTTTTATAAAAGTGCCTTACCATTCAACATACATTCAACCACTTTGTCTCCTGTCTCTTCCTTTTCAGCTGGCAATCGGAATCCTACAATAATAGCCCGTCTATGGGAATATGTGATGAATGTGAATAGATTTAATTATCCAATCACAAGTTGTTCTACTTATCATTTTCTTCTGTACATGTCTAATTAATGTGTATTGTACACAATAAAAATCGAAATCAGAGGAGAATATTATCATTTTGATCATTAATCTCAGAATAAGGAGCATTGCTTATATAAATAACGTGTATCCAATATGTATACATTAAACACCATGTTGAATAGTGATTTAACTTTTATTGTTAAATAATGATATTACTAACTCAGGAAGACCGGTAGATTTTGCCTTATACATTAATGTAGGGGGCAGAATTAGAAAAATTGTTTCTTATCTAAATTCTGTGGGACCACAAGAGGGAGGATATAGTCTTGAAGTTCATTGGACCCCAAAATCCACACTGCCCCAAAAGTTGGGACAATGAATGAAGGAGTTTCGAGGAATTTGTACCGTGATTTTCTACATTACCCTTCATCTAAAAAATGTCCCACTTTTTTGCATAATAACAATAATACTGTCAAAGATTTTTATGGCGTGGACAAATTTGAGATATGTTTTCCCTGCTTAACTTACTGGCTCCCAAAACCTGCACACGTCCCCGCCCAATAGACCTTTATCATGGTGCAGCCATTTGACTTTTTCCCATTCAAATTTATGTAACCAAAGCGAGGCTGGCAGGACAAATAGTCTGGTTCTTTTTTGCACAAAAACATTATCATTCAGTACTGTTATTGGGAAGGATACAGGGAACATGACTGAAATGGGGGCAGCATGATAAAGGTCTATACCCAATAGACCTCGTGGACAGAGCGCCCTCACCGAGGATGGCTTTTTATTTCAATGGCAGTGAAAGCCTACTGCTGAATATCAAGGGAACAAAGACTATAGGCCTCGGCGAGGGCACTCTGTATGCAAGAAGCTTTTAGGTCATTAATCATGGATTGAAGTAGTGTGATAGCTGCGCAGGTGATGTGACGAAGTTGCACCCTCCGCGAATCTGGCGAGGCGACGACTCGTGTAAATATAAAGGTCAAGAGTCACGTTTTCATTCCGTATACATATACTTTGATCATCCAAGTGTATCGATTTAGCGGTGACTGCATGCAATAACGTGTTGTCTATTAGCTTTGGCTGAACTGTCAAGCTGATAACAGGTGTACAATGCCTACCATCATAAAACCTTCAAGTTTGACTTCGCATTGTAGTTTCGAGCTGTTTTTTTTTCTTTCAACACAATAATTATATTCACCTATAATTTGGAATTTGTCATCGATCGAAACAAAATCCAGCCTGGTTGAGTTATAGAACTTTACATATTACAGAAAATTCGGGTGGATCTGTCGTGCGTGCGAGGGGCATAGGCACCTATACGCCAAAAATCTCGGTTTTTGCTTGAATTCTTGCGTTTTCTTTTAAATAACCAAACAAATTGACAATGTTTTTCCCTGATTCACTTACTGGCTCTCAGAACCTGCATTCGTCCCCGCCCCATACCCAATAGACCTCATGCATATAGCGCCCTTACGGACTGGTTTTGTTGTTGAAAGTAAATTAAGAGTAATATACGTCTAAGCAGCCGGGTGTTAAAACTGGTGTGACTTACTACCCCTTGAACCTTTTTTGATAAAAAAGAAATCATAATGACATCCTTATCATCTTAATGAAAAATGTTGTCAATGTTATTGAAACGATCGTGTGCGGAGCCAAATCCAGGTTGTTCAAATAATTAAGACTAATTATTGAGTGTAAATATAAATATCAAGAGTCAATTGTCCATTTCGTACTATGATCATCCAAAAGTATTTTGATGGGGCGGTGACTACCACAACATGTTGCCAAAGTTTTAGCTGAACTTTTCAATCTGATTACGGGGACAGTACCTTGCAATCATAGAGCCTTTAAGATTGTCTCGCATTGTTTTTTGAGCTTCTTTTTTTTCTAGCAACACAATAATTATATTCGGCTACAATTTGGACTTATCGTCGAATGAAAAAACAATCCTCCCCAAATCGTTTTTTGTTGTTGCTTGGATACTTAGACTTTCTATTAAATAAGCAAACAAATTGACAATGGTTTTCCTGAATCACTTTTACTGGCTCCAAAACCTGCACACGTCCCCACTACATACCCAATAGACCTCATGGACAAAGCGCCCTCACCGAGGTCGGGTTTGGTTATTGAAAGTCAATTTAGAGTATTATATGTCTAAGCGGGCGGAGGTGTAATAGTGCAGTGTACACTCAAGCCTCAAAGTATAGTGGTGCACGACGAATACGTACCATGAAACAAACTAAGGAAGTCCTTGAACAGGTAAACAAGTCAAATGGGAATCTGAATGGAGACCAAAGGCATCAACTTGAGTCAGTTCTCAGGAAAAGTTTGAAAAACGTCCGTGTACTCCGTAAATACTGACTCAGGACTTACGGAGCACACGGACGTTTTCAAACGATCTAGTACTCCCTTACATACCATAAAACATACCATAAACACGGGTAATCATCCTCTGATAAGGTCTCGGCAATTATTATAGGCACCCTCCGCACCTACAATCAAACATTAGGGCGCAGGTTCACTAATTGTTAAGAGACAATAATATAGGTTTTCCAGCCAATTTCCTGAAATGTTCATTCACTTCTGAAAATCGGTCGTTCATTTTTCGTCGGAATATGAATGCACGTCTTTAATCCATTTCAATTCAACGAAAGTTCAATCGTTTTCATTGTCCGTGCATTCGGTTTTGAGAAACAGACGGCCAATTACGTTACCTTTGCATTCATTTACGCAAGCATACCTTTTCGCGCAGAGTTCTGGAATACAATTTCGTGAATGTGCAATCAAAAATACGGTTTTTTTTTTCATTCAATATAGCAGATTACATCACATAACATTAAACTAAAAGTGGAATAGAATGGCCAATGTTTGAAATCGCCCACTAAAAGCGAAAAGGAAGTCTTGTAAACGAATCAGATTGGACAGAAACGGAAGGTGCTGCTCAATCACTTAAATTGATTGAACTGAAATGGAATCGGATGCTTTTGTAGCGAAAATGAAATGCATGTTCAGAGTGATTTCAGATTCAGACGAAAATGAACGACTGATTTTCAGAAGTGAATGAACATTTTCGGAAATTGGCTGAGAAAACCTATAATATCCCCTTATACATCACCCTGGTCTAGTGGTATTGTATTGGTAAAGAAGAAAGGAACAAACAATTTTCGTTTTTGTATTGATTTCAGGACGATAAACGGAAATAGTGAACGTGATAATTTCCCACTATAATATCGAAGACTCCATCAATAATTTAGGTCATAATCAGCCTTTGTATTTTCCATTGCTTGATATGGGATCTGGCTACTGGCAAATAGCAATGGAAGACAGTTCTAAGAGTAAGACTACATTTGCACACAAGAGGGTCAGTATGAATTTAATGCTCTCCGTTTTGGTTTGCATTAAGCCCCCATCACATTCCACAGAGTTTTACATTGGAAAATAGCTTAAATTTATCTTGATGATGTCATCATTTTTTCGAGGTCTTTTGCAGAACATATGGACCATTTTCGACAAGTGTTTGATAGGTTTAGATCGTCTGGCCTGAAACTCAAGCCCCAAAAAATGTATATTTTGAGAGAACAAGGTACGTTACTTAGGTCACGTTATCTCACAAGACGGAGTAGCTGCTGATCCGGCAAAAACAAGTATTGTTCAATATTAAGCAGCGCACACAAATATATCAGAAGTTGAATCCTTTTTTTAGGAATAACTGGATATTATAGATGTGTAAATAAGTACAGCCAAATAGCTGAACCACTGACCAAATTGACCAGGAAAGGCGTTCCATTTACCTGGTCTGCTGAATGCCAACAGGCTTTTGAGATACTTAAACAACAAGTGCGAGTGCACAATAAGCTCTTGCAAAAAATGCAACGCCGATGGCACATATGCATGGGCGTAGCGAGGAGGGGGCAAGGGGGGCACTTGAACCCCCCCCCCCCTGGAAAAGCAAAAAAAAAAAAAAAGAAGAAGAAGAAGAAGAAAAAAAGAGAAAAAGAAAAGAAAAAGAGGGGCGAAGACAAAGTGGTGTAAATTTAATGTTTGGGGGGGGGGGGGGAAGGGAACATGTCCCTGCCCCCCTCTTAAACTGATAAATCGAGAATATGTTGAGAAATGCAAGCATTTTTGGCAAAAAAAAATGTTTGCCCCCCTCTAGAAAAATCCTGGCGACGCCCATGCACATATGGAATACCATACTTGTTTCGTCAATTTTCATTTCCTCCTTCTGGATACCGTCCAACCACTACAGAAAATACCACTTGACTATAACAATGCTGCACATATATTGCTTCCGTTTTCAAGATTTTCATAAACAACGAATTGTTACAAACAATGTTAGAGTGCATTTACGGACGCCGTCATGGCATTTGCTCAATTTTTGTAAAATATTTTGGTCAAGTTATAGACGACCTACCGACGGACACCAAAGTGACTCGTAGAAGCTCCTACCAGAGCTTAAAAACTCAGTGAGCCTCCCATTTTGGCCTACCCCAAATTTGACGGTTCAAATTTCATCCCCCAAACCGATGCATCAAGGTTTAGCGTACATTTTATCTCAAATTCATTATGATTCAGAAAAAGTGATCGCATACGGATGAAGGTGTTTGAATAAGGCAGAAAAGAATGATTCAATTACAGAACTTGAGACCTTAGCAGTTGTTGAAGAAGTCAAAATACTCCTCGTATCTGCTTCATGGACCAAAATTCCAGATAATCACTGATCACCCAGCACTTTGTTGGTTGTTTAGTCGTAAACCTACAACAGGTAGACTTTGCACGGTGGGTTTTATACTATGATTATGAATAATCCGAAGACCAGGCAGTTCTATAAAGAATGTTGATTCTTTGAGTAGTATTCCAGAGAAAGAACGATGTCAACCTGAAAAATGCCAAAGTGAAATCCCTGCCAATCATGAGAAACAAAGAACAACATGTACAGTCTAATCAAACGGGAGAAAAATCTGATAGCACAAATTGGATTCCTGTTGATTTTGGAACTCCGGATGATGTTTTTGTTCCTTGTAATTCCAAGCCTCATGTGAATCATGCCACAAATGTGCGGTATCAAAAGGATAAAATATTGAAAAATATGCAAGATGATGTATCCACTCAACGTATGCCTAATATCTATAAAGTCATCTATCTTTCTGAGTTGAAACAGGCACAGGGGAAAGATCCATTTGCAGGTGGAATTATCAGATACCTAAAAACGCAAGATTTAAAGAGCTCGTCAGATTGTACTTGAAGCTGAAAATTATGTTCTTGATGAGAATGCTTTGTATCATGTGCAACATAATTCAGTGAAAGGTCATATTATGTTACAGAAAATCATGATACAATTAAATATTTATTTCCCGGGATTTTAAGCGAGATCAGGAGGCATAAATCAGAAACATGCTGACAGCGTGGGTCCAGAAAATCAGGGGAATCCGGGAATAGTTCAGTTGCTGGTGGAAGTATTTCGAAAGCCAACTGTCAATCTAAACCATTTGGCAATTGGTTATGCTTTTTAAGTCTACCCTCACATTCGAAGGTTTTCTCTCGTCACGTTTCGTCGTACATCAAAATCATAGAAACAATTAGTTCGTTTTATACTTTCTGTTTGGAATTTTAAGTCAGTTTTGCTAATATTTGAAACAATGTGAATTGTTGTTCAATTAGAGTTTTATTTTCGTTGCTTCAAATGAAGAAAGTTCACAAAGAAACAAAATTATAGTTTGCACGCTGCTGTCTTTGGTTTTTTTTCTTATTTATTTTCTATTTGTGTTGAGATTGTTCCTATATTTTGTCAGCGCTGGAAACGTATGCAGTAGGACTAATCATGTGGACGAGACTTAAGGTTTATCGCTCATTGACATTTTTCTGAAATCGACTGAAATTATTTGATGTAAATTAGTGTCACATATATTGTCAAATCATTTACAGAGCGAGTCCGGTTGTCATTTTTCAGAGCACATTTATTTTATCACACTTATTTGCAAAGGTAGGCCTAAGTGTATCAATTAGTGTTATTGAAATTTTCTACCACTTATTTTCTGTATTGAGATGAGAATAGAGACCAATAAACTCTGCTAATAATTATGCTTGTTTATGTATGAAATCCGGATTGGGCAAGCTACCGTAAATATAAACCAATCACCACACACAGAGAAAACATTCCGGACCCTGCTCTAGATTATCGGTGAAGGATCAAGGTTTCTCCTCAACAGATACGTAGGGCAATAAAACTCTTTTTTTGTATTCCATTGGGTGGTGTTTTATATTTGTATTTTTTTACGGTTGGTTTGGTTATTTGTTTGTTTATGCAAGAGTGTGTCAAAACGTTATCGCTTTTCTTAACGATGTTGACAGTGTAATCCAGTGTCATAAACATTTTAGTTTCAAAGTACGTAAGTCATTGCTCCTTATAAGGCAGTAAGCACAATGTGGACAATAAACCCCTCAAGTACGTCTTTCCAAATCTTCTCCCCATTAAAGGAAAAGGAGTTTAAGATTCCAATAAAAACAAAGGGGAGCAAGAGTAGGAATGTCCTTCTGACAAGTATATGTATAAAAGGTTGCGTGCGAGAGTGCCTGTGTGGTTTTTAAGGGGTCTCATTTGCTAACAAGGGCACTTAGTGGATTTTTCTATACATTCTGAAACATTACTTCTTCACTTGACTTAAGCTAAGCATTTTAGGCCAATAAATATTTTATTTAAATGATAATTTCCTGCTATGAATTCCGTAATATATGACCATTATAGTTTACTATTTATAACAACAAAGAATTTTGTGCAAATGTAATAGATAGACTTATATGAGTAAATATGTTTGGTTTGAAATTATTCTGCTTTCAGTCGTTGCAATGTATGCCTTAATGGCTTACAAGATACACTTGACTCATTGCTGGTATAATGGTATGAGTACTTGAAACAATCAGAACTTTCAGTCAGCCCACTGAAGGGGGAGAGGCCGGGGGCTAGAAACCTTCACGAGGTTTATCTCTCTTCTCAATCTTCAGCTTTTTCAATCGATTTTTATGCCCATTAGTTGAGGAACTTCAGCTCAATATGTTTATCCGTGTTCTGCTTCAGGGAACATCAAGTCCTCTAATATGACGCCGTCTTTGAGAGTTTTCATCTGGTTTGATATTGTTATCAATGATTATCGAGTCAGAGACAAGACCGAACCGGACATCAAACCTAGATTGAAAAAAACACTCATGTTGGCGTAGTGGTACTTTCCACCTCAGTGACTCGGGTTCGAATCCCGCCTGGGCATATGGATTGGGTTTCAGTTCCTACCTGATTCCTTGTATATTTGCCTGGAATGTCTTAACTATATTTTCCCTGCCACCACTAAAACTGTGCCAGTTGCCAAGTGATATTAGAAGTTAATAAATAAATTATTTATTTAATCATGATAAGTGCATGTGTAAAGATCAAACGATGCAAGTTATGTCAACATTATAGCAGAGGTCATGATAATCACCTGACCAGGGCTATATATACATTATAAGCAACTTCACAACACACAGCTACAACTCGCTCTTCCGTCAACAGCGCCCTTCGGATTTTTCTCCAGCATCGAACTTGAAGTCTACTTAGAGTTAAGATTAATTGGCCATACATATTAGAACAGCTATTTTAGACGGACGTTGTGTCAGCTATTTCACTATATATCGGTAAGCAGAACTAGTGACGCATTTACAGTGTGCTTGCTGGTGGGTGCATTATTTCATATCAGTAAAAGTTAGTTAAGAAGAATTTGAAAACTAGATGAATTATGATAAACTTTCATGGCTATTGATTGATTGATTTTAACTGCCTTGCGCCAGAATGGCAGCATCCATGTTATACTCCCCAGGCCCAGGGAGCTGAGATTGTATTTGGGATGTTTCATTGACCCAATCAGCGCAGTGGTTTGTAACTTCCCTTCCACATGAATGGCTCAGGATTGATTTCTGCCTTGGTCCACATGTGGATTGGGTTTCAGTCCCAACCTGATTCCTTGGGTTTTACAAAAATATTCTGAGGTTTTCTTCCCACCTCTAAATCGATTAAGTAAAATTTTGCATTAATATAATGAACCTTTTAGAAACAGAAAAATTACGTGTGACGTAACCATTTCTACAGCGTTTAAAACATCGCATTTGGGGCATTGCCCTTTTTCATGGCTTGCAAGCATTTGAAGGTAAAAGATATTGATGTTTCACACAATGGTATAAATAATAAACCTAAAAAAAACAAATGAACAAACTAATTCCTGGAAAAAAACGACTTCAAGTTAATGTTGATATATTTTTATTTTCTTCCATTTATAGCGACGGCAAACTGATGAGAAATGCAGTGGGTGTCATTGTTATTATTCTGTGAGTAATGATAATTTAAATTATTTTGTGGATTATATTGATTTTTTGCCAATCTTTTTTTCCAATTTACAAGTACATTGATGTTAGAGTCCTAACTGTTTTGGTGGTTGGAAGAGAAATTCCGATGTGGGTAATCAAAACTTGCTCGATAAATTACGGACAAATACCGTCAGGGAAATAGGGAGAAATAATTAAACCATGCTCTGTGAACTGCTGCAACGATTTTCCCTTGATAATACTTACATAATTTCATTCACACACAATCATGAGGCCATATCTGGCGGTATTTTGGTTCACATTTTAGAGACAACAAATGATTGAGCTTTTGTGTACATTAAATAAATACTGTGAATACAATGATGTCAAAATGCATTTGCCCTATAGCAAAACAAAGTAAAACTAAAGGAATGTTTTTGCAGAGCAAGAGATTTCTTGATCGATGTATAATAAAATCAGATTTCATTTCTTGTGCATCATTTTGTTTCAGGTGGATTAGTCGAAGCGAACACTGATGGCTCTGTGTTCTTGGAACGAGCCCACCGTGGGATCGTACCCTGTTCTCTCGTCAAATCTAGCCAAATCCCGATAGGTGACGTTGAAGTCATTTACTGGCACTATGGCTCAACCAGCCCGGCATCCATCCTCATCTCGTACTTCTTGGGAAGAGTGGCTCCCCAAAACGGGATCCCAGAGGGCGTCTACGATATCGACAATGAATTCAATCTCATCATTGAGAACGTCACCCCCTCCGATGAGGGAACCTACTACTTTCGGCTGAAACCGCATTTGAAAGCGTTACAAGACGGACAGGTTGAAGTATATAATAAAGGCAAGTCCATTTTGTGTTTTTAATCTACTGTTTGCTTCAAAGGGTAGGCCTACATGATTTAGCCAATTATTTAGAATATTAAGAAATAATAATTGCATGAAAACCAATTATCTGCGCGCCAGACCCCGTACATTCACGCGCTTACTAAAAATAGACCAGCAATTCCCACAATCAAAGAGTTCAGAGTCACACGAGGCTCCGGCGGGCCACTAGCTCAGCTCAGCTCAGCGGAACTCCAGTAGAGATCAAGCGGGGCTATTGTAGAGCGTCTGTTACAGGATTAAGCATCCTGTGAAATCGTTGTGCCCAGTACAAAATGTGCGTTGTCATTTTTAAGGACAGAGGAATTTATACCATCACTAATTTTGTCACGATGATGAGGACCATGTTCATCGTGAAAAAAACTACTTAATTTAGTTTGCATATCGATTAAATTATAACTATTTTCCCGAATGAGAAACTGGGGTCAGACTACTAGGGGGGCCGCCCGATGGTCCGAAGGTCCGATAGTCCGAAGGTTCGATAGTCCGAATGCACAATATTTCCATAAGAGGGGGTTTGTTAGTCCGAAAATGAAATAAGGTTCGTTAATTTGAATATCTGACGCAATATTCCGAAGGTTCGTTAATCCGAAGGTTCGATAGCCCGAATTTAGGATAAGGTAAATCAGTCCGAAGGTTCAATAGGTACGTTTCTTAATTGCCCCTAAGGACGTAATATGTACGTCCATGCACGTTTGTTATCTTCTCAGTGATTGACCAATGGCCCTCTCTCGTGACATTAGTCCCTTTTACGTTCGGGTTATGAAAAGGAGGCGGGCACATTCGAGCCCAATACCTTGAACGAATAAGAAAGAGATTTCTTGACGAAATCAATACAACACATGTTTGTGTCTGCGACCACGGCCTTTTCAATTCATGGGCCGAAGTATTAGTATTACTCCATTCCCTGTGTATTGTGTTTTTCACATAGACAAAGAAGGAAGGGACCCGCAACTCCGCCCTAGTTCTATAGAAATATCTCACAGGGTTGAAGCAATGATGGTTTCGTTTGCACCTGTTGGTTAACCGTATTTCAAAAGCGCAGCATTTCGTTCAGGTATTGATTAACCCACAACGTAATGGGTGCATACCTATGTTCCCAACCCCTAACCCTATCCATGTAACTCCTAACCCTAAGGATTTTGGGGAACATAGGTATTGGGGAAAAGAAGTATTGGGGAACATCGGGTAGACCCCCTACGCAGAAATTGTGATATATGTAACAAAAAAAAATCAACCAAAACGAGCATGAAAATAAAATGCACCATTAACAAATAACAAAAGTTTGTAACATATCTGTCAAAAAGCAAGAAATATTAAAATTGTGTATTTGACAATGACAGTTTTGATATCTTACCAGTGGCGTAGCCACGGGGTGGGGGGTGGGGGGGGGGGGGGGGGGGGGGGTGGGGGGGGGGGGGTTCGTTGGTCTACATGACGCCCCCCCATGAAATGTTCCTGCCCCCAGCCCCCCCCCCCCCCCCCCCCCACTGAAAATTTCCTGGCTACGCCACTGTATCTTACATTGGTGTTTGGCTTGATAGATGCATAATCAAGACAATAATTATGCAATACGTACAACACACAGGATCTACGCCACCCGAAAACCAAAGGAGGGGGCAAGAACCATAGAGTTATATTAAAAAAAACTAGAGCGCGCATTCACTATACCGCACGCAAAATGCAGACGTGCCACCCTGTAGATCTCGCCGCCATTTTTTAAGTGGGCAAAAAATACTCGGATGTGCACACTTCAGGATTGACTTTAATGCGAATCTTGTTGTTTTACTGTTGGTTCCACTTGTAAATTTCCCCCGAAGATGCCTTGTTTTACCGTGCTGTTTTGCCTTACGTTATGTGTTGTGCGCATGTGCTTTGCTCACTTACAAAATGTCCTTGCCAGCACGGGGTCACGTGAGGAGTGCGCTCTCTAGTTTTAATAATATAACTCTATGGCAATTAAGAACGAACATTCAACACAATTCGTGATTTCAAGGTCAAATGTTATATGAAAACGCAGTTGTATTGAATACTTAAATTCAGTTTATTGATAAACAGGCCATAATGTCTTTAAAATACTCCAGGGATGAGTTATGCCACACAATACAAAATGTCAATCACAACGAAAATACCCACTACCCACTCCTGTCGCACAAAACAATACGAGTATGGGTGATGTTTTGCGGATTTTAAAATTGTACACACAAATCATATTTGTTTAGCAGTACCTCACATCAACAATAAGGGCCTCAAAACATCACCTTTACTCGTTGGGTTTAATTTGTAAAGGAAGGGTAGTCACGGGGGAATTTTGGGCAGTTTGTTTATGTCATGGTAGCTCAACCAAGCATGACACAGACATGACATGGCCTGTTTATGAAACTAAGTATTTCATACTTGTTACTGTTCATTTATTATGCCGACATGACCTTGATCAAAGCGTTTTGATTCAAAATTGACATTAAAATCACGATTTTTGTTTAAAAACAAAAATTGCCCCCTCCGTTTGGATTCTGCGTGTTGTATTGCTCAATTATGCATCTATCAAGCCTTACACCAAGACATCAAAAGTTTCATCGACAAATATACATTTTAATATTTGGAGCCTTTTCAGAGTCACATTCCAAACTTTTGTCCATGATTGACGAATTAATGCAAATAACCATACATGTAGTTGCAAAATTATTTTCATAAATTCATACAACAATAAAATGGATACATAAACCCAGCGTGATCTTATTCTTTGTCTCAGTAATACACTTGTGCATGAAGTGGGATAAGTTTACATCCCATGTTTCACTTCTTGACTAATTAATGGCAGCGCTGGACACTATTTGCCCATTGTACTGAAGCCTAACCGTCTTCCTTCACAAAATACCTCTATTTGATAATCCCTTTTGTCTAGAATCTATGGTCACAATAAACGACCGTGGTCATTACAATGACCGCAACATTCTTTACCCAACCTCTATTATTAAAAGACAATGCATTTATATAAAGCATAGTAGGGCAGCACGATTTACTACTTGCAGTGGACGCACCTACATTTTAATACAAAATCTAGTACATTGGGTCGTATGTATAAAAAAAATAAAAGCCAGGGTGACCGTAATGTCGTGGCCAAATTCTGCTAAATGCACTTCGAAAATCTGTCAGATTTATCAAAAATCTGCCAAATTGCATGAATTACTCGATATACAATATAAATATTTAAAATCACATGCAGATGTAGTAATATTGCCTTAATTAAGGTTTAAATTACATTATAAACAATCTATAAACATATAAAGGTTTTATGAAATTGTGTATATAACTCAGTTAAAACGAGGTTGCGTCCGGCGACGAAATCCGATTCCCAATGAACCTCAGTACAAAGACAAGGCAACCCGTCCTGTTTTGCAAGTGTTTGTTTGAAAAGATTGAAGCTTTTTAAAACAAATCTACCCTTTTTTCAAATTTGCTATGTTTTTCTGTCAAACAACCATTTCTGAAGAATTCTGCCAGAAATCTGCCAAAAGAAACCGTTCTGTCAAATTTTCTGTCAGACTCGTTTTTTAACAAAAAATCTGTCAAATTTAGCCGAAAATCGGCTAAAAAGGTCACTATGAAAATAGTATTTGCTAGTTTTATACATACGAGTACGATCCGTTGTGAGTGCTGCCACGTGGAAAATTGTAACGGATTGATTCTACAGTACTACGACACTACGGAGGAGTATGTAAATCTTGGAACACATTTTTTCAATGGGAGAAGAATTGTAGACGCGATGTCTGGTCAACCATACCCTCATTTTCTCAGCTAATAGGGACGCACGTCAATCACTAGTCGCTCAGTAAAATGGGAGGTCGTAATCATGTTAATAGTTTGGTGACAGCCAATCACAAGAAGGCTGCAATGCGTTAGGTTCACTGCTGTCCTATACATCCCCAGATCAGTGTTGCCCATGGTGGCATACTCCGGCATAACCAACAGATCAAAGATTACAGCGCTGAACGTAGCCTTAAGTTCATTTTAGGTTTTCGTTCGGGAATTAAGAAACGTACCTAAAAGTCCGAAGTGTCATACTGACGAACCATTTTACCCATTAGTGTTCATTCGTTTTGAACGTACGCAGGACGGGCCAATGAAAAGCTTTGCTTGCCACGCTCCACCCACAGTTACCGCCCACCATGACCGTCTACTGCCTTACCTCTATTATTAAAATTGTTCGCTGCTTGTATTAATCATGATAACAATGCAAGAGGATTCCAAGTCGTTGAGCAGTACAAATATCTAAGTGCCAGGATCGGGAACAATAAAGTGGAGTTGTATAGTGTTGTACCTATAGGCGACATATGACGTGATGAAGAAATGCACTGGAAATGTTGTACATGTACGTGTATACGTGTATAAGACACTGTAGTGCACAACTCAAACTCATGTTGAAATCTTTCGACAAAGTTTGTCAACCATTTTCCTGTCAATTGAAAAGTAACACTAACAAATGTCTGTTTCTTTGAAGCTCTATCGTATAATCTCCGATAAATAAAAACTGAAATTAACAAAATAAAAGACTTGTTATCAATTATATCACATGTATTATAAATAAATAATTATAAATAAAAATTGGAAGGACTTGCCGAAACTTGGGTCAGCTAAGTTTGTTGATTAGTAATTTCAGGGCATTGTACTCTTTCAACAGTTTGCATACAAATATTTCTTTTTATTGGAGATTCAGTTTAGGTTATTTTTAAATGTAATGACCCAAACTTTTTTCTCAGCGCCGTGAAACATTGGTGATTTACTCTATAAACTTATGATTAACTCCATGAACCTCTTCTTTGTTTATAAACTTATGGCGATATGCATTTAAATCAAGTGCCCTTTCCTCATCATTGATATTCACACGGGCACATTTGTCGAACGTTCCCCATTTCGTGCCTCACTTTCGTCTTGCTTTCAGAGTGACAGTACCAGACGGTGGCCTTTAGCTTTTACAGGCATACAATGTATATGTCTTGTTAATCTGAATACTGACTGTACTGCGTAAGCGTTTATAATCCTTCGTACCGTTTTTATTGTTGTTCTAAGTAGCACTCGTACCCTGCCTTAGCCTTATTATTTCCTTGCGTTCCGAGTGTATTGTTAATCTGAATACTGACTGTTCTCTGCGTAAGCCTTTTTAATCCTACATTGTCTCTGATGTAGCGCTCGTACCCTGCCTTATGTATTGTAAATCTAAATACTGACTGTTCCCTACGTAAGCCCTTATAATAGTGTCTATTGTAGCGCTCGTACCCTGCCTTGGCCTTATTATTTACTTGCGTTCCGAGTGTATTGTTAATCTGAATACTGACTGTTTCCTACGTATAAGCCTTTTTAATCCTATATAGTTTCTATTGTAGCGCTCGTACCCTGCCTTAGCCTTATTCTTTCCTTACGTGCCAAGTGTATTGTTAATCTGAATACTGACTGTACCCTACGTAAGCCCTTATAATAGTTTCTATTGTAGCGCTCGTACCCTGCCTTAGCCTTATTCTTTCCTTACGTTTCAAGTGTATTGATAATCTGAATACTGACTGTACCCTACGTAAGCCTTTATAATGGTGTTTATAGCACTCGTACCCTGTCTTAGCCTTTTTCTTTCCTTACGTTCCAAGTGTATTGTTAATCTGAATACTGACTGTATGCTGTACCCTACGTAAGCCTTCAGAATAGTTTCTATTGTAGCGCTATCTTGGTAAAGGTGCAATAAGCCCGTGCAGAGAAAACCCATAAACAGAGTGTTGAAATAACTGAGAAAATCCGGCTCTTCGTCGAGAAAAAAATCAACAGGGGGTACACTTATCAATAACAGAAAGTAATAACATAGAAAGGAACACGATTGTGGCCACGGGATCCATGACTAAAGGCAGTATGTATACAGTAGGCTTAAATGCTGAGAGGACTCCCTGCAGTGTGAATTCATATACCTGCACTAGACTAATTACGTGCGTAATTATGTTTGCTTTACCGACTAGATTTTGTTCAAAACACATCATGTACAATGTACATGTACTTGCAAAATTGCTTCGATAGAGAGATTCAGCAGGCATTGTGTCAGACAGCTTTCATTGAAAGAGATCCTCTTTTGTTATTTAGATGTTTGTACCGCTCAACGAGTTGGAATCCTCTTGCATGCAGCAAACAATTTGAATAATAAAAGTAAGGCTGTGGACGGTCACGGTGGGCGGTAACTGTGGGTGGAGCGTGGCAAGCAAAGCTTTTCATTGGCTGAAACGTAAATGCCCGTCTTGCGTACGTTCAAAACGAATGAACACTACTCGGACTATCGAACCTTATTCTCAAATCGGGCTATCGAACCTTATTGTCAATTCGGACTATCGAACCCTACCGTATATTCGGACTATCGAACCTTATCATCTATTCGGACTATCGAACCTTATTGTCGATTCGAACTGTCGAACCCTATCGTTTATTCGGACTATCGAACCTTCGGATTAATTGACCTTATTATATTTTTGGACTAATGGGCCCTTCGGACTATCGAACCTTCGGATTATCGAACCTTCGGACTAATGACCCTTCGGACTAGAGAACCTTCGGACTATCGAACCTTCGGACTATCGGGCTGTAACCGACTAAAAGAGGGTGCAAGTCTTAATGCATTAATGAACATTTTAAAGGGAATGCTATCAACGGAAACCTTGCATCTAGAATAATGAAGTTCCATTGTACAGAACTGAAATTTGGGCAGATAACATTTAGTTTTGTAAACAACCCACTTCATATTGCAAACAGTCTGCCCAAGTCGTCCATATCCTACCGTCATCGGCTGCAATCAAGACCACGACGCAGACACGTGCGAGGTGAGAGTACGACACGACAGCACCGTGCATTACCTGACCTGCGTCATGGAGCATGTCAAACCTGCCGTGGAACTGAGGTGGATGCGTCTGTTTTTGGGCGGAAAGACAGTACTCAACGCTTCTACAACCGTCAGGCCTCTAGTTCTACCGGACTACATGGGTAAGCAGTGTTATTTCTAACATCGTGTTGTCATTGGTATCGCTTCCGTCAACAAAATCTGGTGTCGGTCCATCATCATGCGTTAGTTTTAAATATCGTCAGCTTTTTAACAGCGTCCCCATACGTCTAACAATAACATAAATATTATCAGTTATAACAATAATCAAAACCTAACGATTTCAAATCTTTCGTTTAGGTTCGTCGTTGAGGAACAACACCTATTCAACTTCAGCATCAATCCAACTTCCTTCGGTAGACGATGATGCAGAATATGTGTGTGAGGCAGTGGGTGTTGCTGTAGGTGGCAATACACGCACGAGGGTACGCCTTACCAAAACTCACCCCACAACAGCAACTCATGACACAACGCCAACTGACGATGAAGTTCAGTCCTCCAACACTCCAGGTAGGTATTAACTGTCAATTTTGTAAAGTCGTCAGAAGATGATATTAATACATGGCTTGGATTGGAAATGGCTACAATTGGGGCGAATGAATATAAAGTTCAAAATAGTTCAATACAGTGAAAAGAAATGTACACAGATGAAAGTTGTGATTTGGTAAAGTAAAGGAACTTTGATTGACGCTGACTGTTCAAAAATATGCGTATAGACCCTTTGCAGCATTTTTCTTAATTTAAATTCATTGAGAAAAGTTATAATGATGTACTAATGCGCATCGCCCATCGCAAAGGAAGAAGATGCTGCTCTCAGATGTGACGTCACATGCAAGGGGTCCATTGGGTAATAAACAAATGAAACTCTGTGATTCGATCATCTGAATCAAATCAGATATGAATCAAATCAAGTCAGATATGAATTAAATCAAGATTAGACATCAAAGAATTAGTCTGGGAGCTAGGTAGAGTTTCATTAACAATTTGAGCACAAAAGGTTTGATGCTACCAGGCCATTGTCCGTCGGGGGTATTTCTGAAATGGCCATTCTTAAGTTGCCCTTTAGGTCGGATGGGGGTCAGAGGATAAAGGTCAAAATGTCAAAAATTTCGAGTTAAATTAACATGTCGCGCACAACTACCGTTTTTGGATTAAAGTGTTGAGATTGACCCCATGATACCGAAAATGCTACTTAAGAAAATGTCTGCTGATGCTGCAAATGGTGCCCGACAAATTTTAGTGCAAAATATAATGAGCCTAGAGAGCCCACATAAAGCTTATACTCGATCGTAACCCCATCTAAAAACACGTTAAAATTGTGCAGCAGCAGGAGGATTCCAGTCAAACCAGTAAGTTTGGCGGTTTTGAGACATCATCTTACATTGAAAAAAAGCTTTTTAATTTTGCCGACGCGCATGGCTACGGCGACACGTGCAAGTGCGTGTGCGTCGTGCCAATGCTTGCGCACGCTTCGCCGAATGACAAAACGAACTACTAATATAAAATTTCCTAGGTGCGTCTTATAAGAAGCACCGTCGGAAAGGCCTTCTTCTGTTGATTGCTTCAAAATGACAGCTTGCCAAAAAGAATAATTTCACAGGGAGTTAAGTCCCCTAACTATCTTTCAACCAAGTATGTTTTTCAACAATAATTACGCCAGTTACTTTTCGGATAGTTGCAAAATAGCTTTAAATCTTTCTCGGGCCAAAAAAGGCTCCGGTTTCTGGTATGCGCGGTTGCTATAATTCGTCGGATCAGTGCGCGACATCGCGTAGCTGCAATCCATAGATATAGAATAAAAAGACTAGATCGGCAATGCCATAGATATAGAATATATCTATGGGCAATGCGTACAGACGCGCGTTCTGCCATGGGCGGCGCCATTTTGCAGCGCGTGGGGCAAAAGTTGCGTTACGCGCACCTTTATTTCCGTAGGTTTGTATGGAAAGACATATTTTTATGTTCGCAAAGTAACATTTTCGACCTGAAGTAGTAATTTCTTTAACAAAATTCAAAATGGGTTGTCAAGCTGCATGTTTATTTCGAAATTTTGGTCCATTTTATTTCTCGTATTTATTTCCCGTTTTAAAATGCTGGTGCGCGTTGCTTAAAAAAACCCTTGCATACAGCTGTTTGAGTGTTATTCTTCATCAACAAACAGAACAATGATCATTTTGAACGTCTTATTTCCATAGTTATTGCGCTGTCCTTTAAAGGGGCTACAAAACGCGCTTTGAACTATCCCTTAAAAACTGGGCGTTTTTGTGTTATTCCTGTATTGTGCATGCGAGAACGAATTTCGGGGTTCCACTTTTGCGACCCCATAAATTCGAGCTGTTTGGATGCTAGTTGTGAATTCATTCGTACGCGTAAAGTGTTCGCCTTTTGCGGACGTTGAAGGAACCACAATTGTTTGCATCGGTAATTGGTCACCGCGCACTGTTCCCGAAACGCACAACGTGTATAGCGTACACTGAGAACGACACGAAAAACGCATTTGTACTCCGTCATGTCCGATGTAAACAAGCGGAATTTTTTCGTCTCTTCTCGGGAACGGTAAGACATTAGGTTGGTTTCCTTTCAACCAGATGTTTAAAATAGGCTAAGTTAACAATCCAATACATACAATTTTCGGGGATTTCAGGACCAAGTGCCCCTTTAATTTAAATTCACGGTAGCTTAACAGGACAACACCCAGATTTTTTTTTCTTTATTGTCCCTCCTCAGGGTATGACATACGCCGTAATCAGATGCAGTTTTGTACTGTTGGATACTGGGGGGCCGGGGATGCACGCCCCTCTCCAGCCCATCACTAACTTATTTTTAAAAAAAAGTAGAACAAATAAATTTGTGTTATTTTGCTCTGGACCTCTGGTGGCGTATCCAGCATCTGAAAATCTTCAAGAAGGCGCAAGAATCTCACAATGTTATACAAAATGAGTACCAAAAGTAGAGCACAATGTAAATAAACTTTAGGGGTTAATTAGGTAATTCAAAAGTCCGGAGCATTATCTAATTTCATTCTTAAAACGGTTTTCAGGGGCAACATTTATTGTCATTAAAAGTCAGACGTATATAATGCAATTCAAGTAAATTGTTCTCATCCCAAAAAGATAATAATTGTAACACAAATTTTTAAAATCATCCATTGAAACATTTCACAATTTTCTTAAATAATTCAACGGTAATTTAAAGCAGGATTTACATTCTGCATTTTCCTTTTAATAAACAATGTCTTACTATACACAATTTATCAGATATTTGGAAATTTTTAGCAACGCGCACCACCATTTTGAAACGAAAAATAAATACGAAGGGAAAATGGAGCAAACTTCGAAGTTACTATCCAGCTTGAAAATGCACATTGAATTTTGTTGGATACATAATAACTACTGGTAAAAATGTTAATTTTACGGGCATACAAATGCAAGTTTGTGCACAAACCTACGGGAATGTAGGGGCGCGTAACGCACGTTTTGCCCCACGCACTACTAGAGCGTCCATGCGGGAACGGGAAAATGTGTGCACACACTCTATGGCGCGTATATACGCGCTGTCGATCTAGGCTTTTTATTCTATGCTGCAATCGGCTCAGTGAGAACGTGTCACGGACGCTGAATTCAGGCTCAATTCAAAACATGATTCAGCAACATTTGATTTGAAATCGAGATGCTAGAACGCTGTTTTTCTCGAAATATACAGCTGAAGCTGAGCTGAAACTTCATCAGATTAGTTGTTCAGTACCCTTCTATAGATTTTGAACACTTTTGTTGCTTCAAACGAACAAAATGCACAAATTACAAATGATGGACTATATCTTTAAAGATTATATTTATAAATATTACATATATACTATATACATATGAACACGTCTAGGCCTGTGCAATAGGGGAGCTGCTTAGGCCCTTAATTTTTGCACAAACCGTGCCCTAATTTGTGACTTGAGCATAACATCCGGCGCGCAGAGACTAAGCTGTCTGAAAATCATTTTAAGAGGTGGAGCCACCTTAAATCTTGCCGATTTAGGGGCGGAGTTTGATTAGGGGGTGAAACGAATACAATCTAAGAAGATCATTTGAAACATTTGTTTCCTTTCTCTTTCCGTGTTTTCAAACAAACTTAGACAGGACTTAAACATCCTCGCATTTGAAAACGTCATATTTTCCGCCCAATTTGTGGGCGTGACCTAAATGTGTAAAGGGGTGTGTATACGAGTGGTTGATCCAATTGCGACAAAATCGTGCACTTTCGCGGCAAAACCATGACAGTTGGAAGGCAAACTTAAAATGGACTGAACATATTTTTACGAGACAGAATTTCTCCACTGTGGGGGTGGAGCTTAATTTCAAGAGGAGTGCACAAAATCCAGAAAACTACATTTGTAGCATTCATTGTTCATTGAGCGACATTTCAAAGGAGGGGGATTAATACTCTATCGTGTACACACTCAAAGTGCTTTAATGGTGGTTCCCAATTCAAATATTAATCGTATTAAATGTTTCTACGTGACTTTAAAGATGCTCTTTGACTCTTGACAAAAGATGTACACAAAGGCTACATAAGCTTGAAGCCCTTAATAGGAAATAGTTGAATGAAGGATTCATCACTAAAGCACTTTGAGTCAGTACAAACAAATTTATATTATAGAACATTAATCCCTCTACTTTGACATGTCGCTTCATCTCAAAAGGGGGAAATGTTTGTTATCTTTTATATTGTCTCAGGGAGGCGTGCTGAAATGTAGACCGGTTATGTTATCCAGACACTTAGGCCTCCGAATATCAATAGGTGTGTGTGTGGGTGGGTGGGTCTGTGTGTATGTGTGTCTGTCTGTCTGTCTGTCTGTCTGGTATTTGCTACAAATACACTTTTCTGAATTTTGTGTACCCCTTTGAAATTAAGCTCAACCCCCACAGTGGACAAATTCCAAAGTGGATATGTCTCCTAAAAATATGTTCAGTCCATTTAAAGTTCAACCAGCCGAACCAGACCTGCCAATTTTCATGCACGATATTCCTGTTTGCAGGAAAAACGGCTGACGGAGTATCACCAACTACCTACAACCCTGCTGAGATGCGCGTCTTTCTGATGGTGCTTGTGGTCGCGTTTTCAATCTCATGCATCGTCATTGGCATTGGGTGTGTCTACATTGTAAGTATACCTGACTTTAAAGTGAACATAAATCCTTGATTTCGAGTGTGCATTTATGAGCACAGTGAATTGGATGGACGAAATACACAATTCGGATATGACAAATATTTTAGCTTGGTCCGGTTGAGCTGCTCCGGGATGACGAACGGTGTGCTTGATGGTCGTGTGTAATATGTGTTTCAATTGTCAAATATTCATAGTTGAAATCTTTTACTATTAAAGGTCATTTTCTTACCCATGAGGACTTAAATGTGGGCTTAAAGGGAAGATACAACATTTGCAAACATCACAAAACGAAATGATCTAATTATCGCGAAATACCTTACTGGATTGTTAGGGAATGACAACCTAAAAGCATCCTGTAAATTCGTGGCTCCTGGTGTGCTGACAATTTCAAGAAAAATAGTGTTTTTCCAACGCTGGACGGCCGACCAGCGTTGGAGAAAACTGGCTATTTTTCAAAAATTGCTCTGAATTTTTCACAATTAGTTATTCCGCATTTTCTTTGCAATTGATTAAACACCTGTGAAGAGGTGTTAATTGCTCCGTTTTATCCTAAGTGGGGTCAGGGAACCAGACTGCAAATACATGATTGGTTTTCTTGGTTTTTCCAGCATCTACGAGCCCAAACGTGAAAAAAAGTCATTTTAACAATATTTGCTATAACATACTAATCCTCCAAATCCATTTATTTCTGAAAATTGCAGCAAAACCAAATGTTGTACATTCCCTTTAAATCTGGTTGATATCGTATATTGGGAGGTTTCAAATAAAAAGGAACCATTTTCTTCCAGTTTGCACAATGTATTTTCCTAATAAATCGATTTTGCAATATGATTGTTATTAATGCAGAAATATCTTCGTAAGAAACCCAAACGAACACAATCGTATGAGTCGTCAGACAACGTCGAGGAAAAAGACGCACTTGAATTAGATGCAAATGGATACAATGGTATAAACGAGACCAGGCTTCACACACCGGTGGAAAATACCTCCACGTCTAAAAAAGAAACCAATACAAAGAAGAGGAGGCGTTACGCACCCCCGCGATGTACTGAAAAATAAGTGTGACTTGTACTCTAATATTGTGCACCAGAGCGTGTGGTCTTGTGGACCCATGACAGTGATGCAAGTGATTATGTGTGGAGAGTAAAATTTTGACCTCCAGAATAGATGTAAAGAAAAACTAGAGATCTATGTCTGTTTGCAACAGAACATAGGGCTTTTCCGCATTATGATTTTTTTTATCAATAATACGCCCTGACTATACATGAACATAAAATCTGTCAAAGTTAGCCGAAAATCGGCTAAAACGGTCACTGTGGACAGGATTTGACCTCAGCAACACGTGCGCCGCGGGCGGACTGACATACGCGATGTACAACGTACGCGCATGTACATGTACATTGTGGACGTCCAATGCATGTTTTAAAGCAGAGGTATTGTCAACCTGAGTTTTAAGCGTGCGCAGGGCATGTCCGAGTTCGCTTATCGCCTCGAAACTTGGAAATGTTTTAGACCAACCCTTAAATCGACAAATAAAGTAAAAACTAATATAAAAACTGCCATGGTTGATTTTTCGGGAATTTTCAAATGAAAAAGAGTCTTTTTATTATAACTTCCGGTCTGATGACGTCATTCGCCTTAAACTTCGCACACGTCTTAAGTGGGTCAAGGTCATTATATACACTAATATTTAGGCGATTCCAACAACCTTCGCCACAGACATCTATTCAAAATACATTTTTAAAAATTTTCAACCTGTCGCTAGAGGGCGCTCGAAGATTGCATGACGTCATCGATAGATGATTTGAAGAATACTATCAGCCAAGTGACTAACACCGTTAAAAGCAAGTTCATATCTATTACCGCTTTTAAAAAATAAGCCACTTCCGGTTTTGGCCTTTTTCGACCGGAAGCAAGGGTCACGTGATTTCACGCACATTCAATGAAATAAAGATCTAAACCTACTCTACCACTTGCTGGCAACAGAATGCTGCGGACGCGTACGGTTGATTTCTTATGCATTTTTAAATATTAAAAGTGTCACAATTTAATTGCCTATAAATAAACACCTGATGACGTCATCATGACGTCATCATTACACAATGTTGTTTGAATTAGGGTCTTTGCTTGGACAAAGAGTGATCTAAATGAATTACTCGCAAACAGTCGAAAATGCCCTTTGAAAATCGACAATTGTTTCTTAATTTTTGTGTACAAAGTCTATGGGAAAAATTAAATATTCAAAAATCTATAATAAATTAGTCGATGACGTCACCATGACGTCACTCTTCGGGGCACATCTCTGCTATAAGGACTATGACTATGCTTAATTTGAATGATGTATGACAAAGATTAATACCAAAAGTGGCACTGAGAAAAAACGTGTACAAAGTCTATGGGATTTAGGCGACAAAAAGAAGAAGAAGAAGAAGAAGAAAGAAAAACTAGAGATCTATGTCTGTTTGCAACAGAACACAGGGCTTTTCCGCATTATGATTTTTTTTTATCAATAATACATCCCTGACTATGCGCATGAATGAACAAAAAATCTGTCAAAGTTAGCCGAAAATCGGCTAAAACGGTCACTGTGGACAGGATTTGACCTCAGCCACACGTGCGCTGCAGGCTGACTGACAAACGATGTATGTGCGTATGTACAACGTACGTGCATGTACATGTACATTGTGGACGTCCTGTGCATGTTTTAAAGCAGAGGTATTGTCAACCTGAAGTTTTCAGCGTGCGCAGGGCATGTCCGAGTTCGCTTATTGCCTCAAAGCTTCGAAATGTTTTAGACCTACCTGTAAATCAACAATTAAAGTAAAAACAAATATAAAACTGCCATGGTTGATTTTTCAGGAATTTTCTTTAAAAAGGGGGTCTTTTCATTAGAGCTTCCGGTGTCATGACGTCATACGCCTAAAACTTCGCAAAAGTCTTAAGTTGGTCAAGGTCATCATATACACCAATATTTAGGCGATTCCGACAAACTTCGCCACAGACATCTATTCAAAATACATTTTTGAAAATTTTTAACCTGTTGCTAGAGGGCGCTCGAAGATTGCATGACGTCATTGGTAGATGATTTGAAGAGTACTATGGGCCAAAACATTAACACCGTTAAAAGCAAGTTCATATCTATTACCACTTTCAAATAATAAGCCACTTCCGTTTTAGCCTTTTTCGACCGGAAGCAAGGGTCACGTGATTTCATGCACACTGAATGAAATAACCCAACCTATTCTACCACTTGCCAGCAAAAGGATGCTGCGGACGAGTACAGTTGATTTCTTATGCATTTTTAAATTTTAAAAGTGTCACAATTTAATTGCCTATAAATAAACACCTGATGACGTCATCATGACGTCATCATTACACAATGTTGTTTGAGTTAAGGTCTTTGCTTGGACAAATAGTGGTGTAAAAGAATTACTGGCAAAGAGTCGAAAATGCCCTTTGAAAATCTACAATTTTTTTTAAGTTTTGTGTACAGAGTGTATGGGAAAAATTAAATATTCAAAAATCTATAATAAATTAGTCGATGACGTCACCATGACGTCACTCTTAGGGGCACATCTCTGCTATAAGGACTATGACTATGCTAACTTTGAATGATGAATGACAAAGATAAATGTCAAAAGTGGCACTGAGAAAAAACGTGTACAAAGTCTATGGGATTTAGGCGACAAAAAGAAGAAGAAGAAGAAGAAGAAGAAGAAGAAAGAAAAAAAATGAGAACAAAAAGAAAGGCTTTTCCGCTTTTTTTCGGAAAAGCCAACTAGAGATCTATGTCTGTTTGCAACAGAACATAGGGCTTTTCCGCATTATGATTTTTTTTTATCAATAATACGTCCCTGACTATGCAGGAACATAAAATCTGTCAAAGTTAGCCGAAAATCAGGTAAAACGGTCACTGTGGACAGGATTTGACCTCAGCAACACGTGCGCCGCGCGCTGACTGACATACGAGATGTACAACGTACGTGCATGTACATGTACATTGTGGACGTCCTGTGCGTGTTTTAAAGCAGAGGTATTGTCAACCTGAAGTTTTTAAGCGTGGGCAGGGCATGTCCGAGTTTGCTTATTGCCTCGAAGCTTTGAAATGTTTTAGACCTACCCTTAAATCGACAATTAAAGTAAAAACTAAGATAAAAACTACCATGGTTGATTTTTTTGGAAATTTCAAAGGAAAAAGGGTCTTTTCATTATAACTTTCGCTTTGATGACGTCATTTGCCTAAAACTTCGCACACGTCTTAAAGGAGTCAAGGTCATCATATAAACCAATATTTAGGCGATTCCGACAAACTTCGCCACAGACATCTATTTAAAATACATTTTTGGAAATTTTCAACCTGTCGCTAGAGGGCGATCGAAGATTGCATGACGTCATTGGTAGATGATTTGAAGAGTACTATGGGCCAAGAGACTAACACTGTTGAAAGCAAGTTCATATCTATTACCACTTTCAAATAATAAGCCACTTCCGGTTTTGGCCTTTTTCGACCGGAAGCAAGGGTCACGTGATTTCACGCACACTGAATGAAATAAAGACCTTAACCTATTCTACCACTTGCCGGCAACAGAATGCTGCGGACGCGTACGGTTGATTTCTTATGCATTTTAAAATATTAAAAGTGTCACAATTTAATTGCCTATAAATAAACACCGGATGACGTCATCATGACGTCATCATTACACAATGTATTTTGAATTAGGGTCTTTGCTTGGACAAAGATTGGTGTAAATAAATTACTGGCAAAGAGTCAAAAATGCCCTTTGAAAATCGACAATTTTTTCTTAATTTCTGTGTACAAAGTCTATGGGAAAAATTAAATATTCAAAAATCTATAATAAATTAGTCGATGACGTCACCATGACGTCAATCTTCGGGACACATCTTTGCTATAGGGACTATGCTTATGCTAAGTTTGAATGATGTATGGCAAAAATTAAAACCAAAAGTGGCACTGAGAAAAAACGTGCACAAACTCAATGGCATTTGAAGTGGAACAAAAAGAAGAAGAAGAAGAAGAAGAAGAAGAAGAAAGAAAAAAAAACCAGAACAAAAACAAAGGCTTTTCCGCAACTTTGCGGAAAAGCCAAAAATGAGAACAAAAAGAAAGGCTTTTCCGCTTTTTTGCGGAAAAGCCAAAAACTGCTTTTACTGAGGATCCTGTATATAATGACATAAAATGAAATACAAAGACAAACATTATGTAAAATTACTAAGAACAATAATTTAAAACTAGAGGTCAATGTCTGTTTGCAACAGAACATAGGGCTTTTCCGCATTATGATTTTTTTTAATCAATAATATGCCCTGAATATTCATGAACATAAAATCTGTCAAAAGAATGTTGCATTTTGCATGTTGCGTTTGGGAGATATTGCTAAAAGGTCCAAACAAATAAATATTCATATAAAATCTCAGGATGATGTCATCATGACGTCACCTCATTTTTAATGTATAACACATCCTGGCATAGCCACATACCAAGTTTCAACCCAATCGGACTTACATTTCTGTAGATATAAGACTTCACAATATGTACGTAAATTTTCAAAAATCAATAAAAAAATTAGGTGATGACGTCATCGTGACGTCATAGTCTAGGCAGAATTTTTGTATGAGGGTCTTCCTTGGCTGTAACTTTGATGACGATTCCAGATCGCCAAGTTATAAAAATGGTGGCTTGAAAACGTGTACAAATAAAAGTCAATGGGTTAAAAATCCAACAGCAGAAAAACTGCACCTTTAAATACGTGATTTGCCTTTAAACTGAAACATTTTTATGAAATATTACTTGACATTCTGACTCTTGGGAATATTTTCAATCAAATGACAAACGTAAAAAAATACGATTTCTTTTTCATTCTCATAGTAATTCTCGGCCGAAGTTCAGAACTACTTAATAAGATATATCAGTGTTGTATAGGGAAAGACTCGTGGAGAAAGCTGTGTACAAAGTCTATGAGAAAAATTAATTATTCATAAATCCATAATAATTCACTTGATGACGTCACCATGACGACACTCCTTGGGACACATCTTGG